AGCTGCAGAGTGTGTGTGAGCTCACCTGGCTCTGTGCACTGTACAGGTGAGCTGCAGAGTGTGTGTGAGCTCACCTGGCTCTGTGCACTGTACAGGTGAGCTGCAGAGTGTGTGTGAGCTCACCTGGCTCTGTGCACTGTACAGGTGAGCTGCAGAGTGTGTGTGAGCTCACCTGGCTCTGTGCACTGTACAGGTGAGACCCGAGTGAGTGAGTTAACATGTTGTTTTCTAACGGAATAAAAAAAACCTCATTTTCTTCTAATCCAGTTTCTGCTTGTCTTTATTTCTCCTGATGTAGTCTGACACATTCTGTAATCAGATTACAGTTACAGAAGAAAGATGTAATCGGATTACAGTTACATTTAGTAAAAATGGGGATTAGATTTTTTCTTTAAAAACAGAAGACCTGTTGTCTTTTAGAATTCATCCATACTGATTATTGATATTTGTTTTCTCTTGTTGTTATTTACATATTTGGTGTTGAAGTAATCCAAAAAATAACAGAAAGTAATCAAGTTACTTCAGTATTGTGATACTTGGATTAGGTTACTGACTACATTTTAGTTAGTGACTGTATCAGATTACATTTTTAATAAACAACACTAAATATATAATTGCTGAGTACGGGATAATAATGTCAACATGCATATAGAATGTGTATATATGTATTTATATATGTGTATTTATTAAGCAGTATATAAAGGGTTTATATGATTGTGTATCAAATAAAATTACATATTTAATATAATTATAGTAAATATGGTGTAAAAACCTGAGGATAACGTGAAAGCTGAGGTGTTGTCGTCTATAATTAATTAATTTGAATGAATTAATGAGTTTAATATTAATTCTAATTAAAAAAGAATGAGGGAAAGAATATTAGTTTATATCATGTCATGAATTTAAAGGTTAAACTGAACCAGTTGATTATGTTTTATGAGTTTATTATAGTGAATTGAGTCAGTGGCCTTCAGGTAAATATATAAATAATAAATAAATATTAATATATATGATGTAAAAATGTAGTTCACAGTTCTCCATGTTGTGTTGTTTGTTTGTTTGTTGTGAAACTTTCCCTTTGAACACAAACATGTTGCAGCGCCCCCTGACGTCAGCTGCAGCCCTCCAGGTGCTGCCTTCACGTACCGTCGTAAACCCCACAATGATAAAGAGGAAGCGTGATTCAGTAGTAGTTATAAATAAATAGAGGGAAATAAAATGGAGGCTGTTTGTGGGGCTAAAATATTTATCATATCAATGTTTATTATATCACATTAAATGAATAAGGAGCATAACAGGAGCTTTAAGGTCTGTACAGCGGTTCTGTATATAATAATATAACTGTACACTTTATAGTAAAGACATTTACCAACGCAGATCATACTGATTTTATTAACTATATTTTATTACTTGATCATTAATTTATCACACAGAGCAGCAGAAACAGGTATTAATACAACTGAAGAAGAAAATAACAGATAGAAGTTAGAAGAAAAACTAATAAATAATTCTAATTATTAATTAATAAAGTAAATATGAATATCACCCTCCAGTGGAACAAGGCGGTTCCCAGCCTGCAGGTCCGGAGGGTCGGAGGCCTTGTTGAAGAATCAAACACACACACAGTGTAATGGTATTAGCCTCACTGCCCAACACTGTAATCCAAAAGTCACAGAAAGTAATCAAGTTACTTTAATATTGTGATACTTGGATCAGATTACTGGCCACATTTTTAATTAGTAACAGAATCAGATTACATTTTTAAAGTTACCCAGCCCTGATGGTTAGATATTACTTACTGAGCAGAGGGAGAAGGTGTTAAGAGTATATTTAGTTCAGTAACTACGTTGATGTTATTTGCTGCTTCAGCTTTGTTTTGATGAACACTGCGTTCTCATGTCCTTACAATATGAAAGGATTTACTACAGAGAACAACCAGAATCACCCTGATGTGAACACAGATATTGAATATTAATCGGCTGAAGCTTGAAGGGGACAAACTCTCTGATCACAGCTGGTTGAATGTGAGTATTTGCTGGTTTTCAGTGTTGTAACAGCAGACTGGAGGTTGAACTGTTAATCGGACAAAACAAAGCATGAAAGGACACTGATGGGTTTTTTCACTGTTTTTTTTAATTAATTATTCCTCAATAAAACATACTTGACAAAACATTTCAAATAAAAATTGTTCCATAAATGAATAAATAAATAAAGATGTAAATGAATAAAGTAAATAAGTAGTGGCGTTTAGTATTTCCGAGCTCAGCAGCAGCTCCTGAACGCAGCAGCAGCAGTCGGCTCAGCTCTCCATTTCAGTCCGGTCTGTTCTGCGGTCGGTTCTGCGGTCTGTTCTGCGGTCTGCTCGCCGTCCACTCTGACCTTTTCTGGGCCGTTCTGAGGAAAATGGGAACGCCTTGATTAAACCCCGGCATCGGCGACAGATCGTGCTCTTCAGCCTCCAGTCGGACCCAGAAGATTAGAGCAACCCGCCGCTGCTGATCGTCTCTGAGCCGAACACAAAACACGGTGAGTGGCTCGTTCCGCTGGGGAACGCGACCCCCGGGCCGGCGTCGCTCGTGGCGTGTGTCCGCGGCTGCGCTGCGGCCTGTCGGCTCTCCCGGAACTCGAGTGCCGCGGCTCGCGTTTAGAGTCGGAGGCCGCGGATGTAGTTGGCTCATTAAGTGTACATTAACCCTACATTTACACACGTAGACCCCGGTGACACTCTCTTATTAGTGGGACAGTTAAATGGCGAGTGTTTCCTGTCGGTAATAAATACATTTTTATTACAGAAACCAGCTGTTATTTCAGCTAACGTTCAGCTAGCCGGCTAGCGCTCAGAGCAGCTAGCGCGGTGCTAGCCGGCTAACGGTAGCGCTTCGTTGTCGGTAATTAATCTCTGTGCTGGTAACAAACCATCACAGAACCACCGGGCTCCTGATTGTACGTCTGTGATATTTTCTGAGAGACACAGGCTGTTTTACAGGCCTGACAACAGCGCGCATCAGCGTTAGCATTAAAGCTAACAGCTAACGCTCAGAAACAGGCAGTAGCTGTGGCCGTGAAGCCGAGCGTGTGCCCGGCCGGACGGCGAGCTGGACGGATTAACGCCGCCACTAACGCCTCCTGCCAGATCCTCTTATGTCGGTCTGATGGAGTAACTGGACTCCTCATGGCGGACGGTGGAGGCTCGGTGTCATTCTCTGCTGGACTTTGTGACGGTGAAGTTAAAGACAAACAAAGGAGGTTTGTTCCTCACGACCAACACAAGACTGTCTCAGTGTGTGTGCGCCGACTGCGACTCTCTGCGACTCATTAATAACTTCATCAAGTTGATAAATACACCTGAACATATGGAGCACCCCCCCCTCCACACACACACACACACACACACACACACACACACACACACACACACACACACACACACACCAGCTGTTCTGGAGCTTTCTATCAGATCACACTGTCTTCATCCTCCGGTGTTTATATTTAAATGATCTGAAACCTTTAAACCTGGAAAACCTGGATATTAAGAGACTTATGGAAATGAATTACACTGATGAAATATCCTGTCAATAATATATACACACACACACATATATATGTGTGTGTGTGTGTGTGTGTGTGTGTCACCCCTCATTGTAAGTATTAGCTCAACTCTAAACATCTGAAGATTTTATATAAAATATTTCATTTGAGTCCAAGTAAATCAAATATTGAAGGTTGTGGTAACTTATATGATTGTACTAATTCAGTTAATTGAACTTAAAACTAGTAATTATATTACGCACACACATCAGCAGAATTTCTTCATGTTAACAGAATTTATCTGAATAATTTAAATGCAGCTTCTTTATACAAATGTTACCGCTTACTCAGGTTTTATTCCACTAAAGTAAATTATTATATTACCTGTCAGAACAGCTGAGGTAAAGGTTTGTAGTCTGTAGTCTTATCAGCGGCGGCGGGAAGCGAGCTAACATAGACGTAACTGTCCTGTAAACGCTGAACCTGAATCTTTAAGAAAGGAGGAATAAAACTGGGAAATGTGGAAACTAGGATAAAAAACATTTAAGAGTGGAAACAGTTTGCTGACTACAGATATTCTCACATATATTTCACAGAACATCTAAAGTGGAGCTGGATGATGTTCTCCAGTGAGACAATGCTGACAACCACCAGGGTGAATCTGACCTTTTGTGTCCACAGGGATCATGTGAGAGTAATCCTACAACTGTACACGGGTGATAAATGAGCCAACGTTAGCAGGCATGCTTAAAATCAATAATATATTCACTGAATTCATTCATTCAAATATATAGGATGCAAACTACCTGTGAGTGGACCCAACACAGTCTGAATACAGCTCATATTAAAGACTGGAGGATCTTTAGTTCAGCACAGATTGGTCATAATGTCACCCAGCAGCCATTTACCTTCTTCTTCTTCTAGTTACGGACAATAAAGTTTTTGTGTTCGTATTAAACTGGATGCTACAGTGGTGTATTGGTGCTGTTCTGGTCATATAGTCCAGTACTGTACACATATTCTATCAGTTTGATATTTTAGTCCAGTGAAAACTTTTCTTTGAGTTTAAAAATGGTAGCGAAACAACAAGTATCTGTTATTGAAGAGAGACGAGGGATACCCACTCAGAGACGGACGGTTACAGGTAACGAGTGTTCAGCTCGCCGTTTAACCGTTAGAAACATTTCCCCTCGAGTTCTACAAAGTGAACGACACAGATTGTGAATTTGGGGAAATTGTAACTGTTGTTGCATCGGTACTGGCTATCACCAGACACCATGACACCACACAGTGCTTTAAAAACAACTTCAGTGAGCTAACACAAACGGTTGTATAAGAAGTTTATCTGGATAAAAGTCTGTAAAATCAGCTCGTATCAGATAGAGAACGAGGCTAAACTCTGAGGAAGCGCTGTGTGCAAACATTGTTTCCTGATGCTCCAGCCGAGCTCAGTTGCAGGTGACGTTGTGTGTTTGCGCTCAGGTGAGAACGTGACCTGGTTTCCCTCTGGCGTCTGTGCTGCCGGTGCTGACCGAGGTTCATTGTGATCCAGTCTGTGTGTTTGAGAAACCTCAGCGTTGTGAAACGGCGCCCATTGTTCTACGAGTCACAATAAACGCCGCCTGAACCGGACTTTAAAGGGCCGAGCACACCGCCTGTTTGCTGCCCATCGCTGACCTCAATCTGGACTTAAAGTGGACACAAGACACCGCCACGGGTCAGACGAGTGAAAGC